CCCAACCACTTGGAGTAAAGAAGAACGAAGAACACCAAAGACACAAGGAAAGTATTAGCCCAAGAGACAGAAAGGGCCACATAAACCAGAGACTCCATCATCCTGAGACCAGAAGAACTAGATGGTGCTTGGCTACCACCAATGACCACCCTGACAGGGAACACAACAGAGAGTCCCTGACGGAGCAGGGGAAAAGTGGGGTGCACAACACAAATTCTAGTAAAAAGACCAGACTTAATGGTCTGAGATTGGAGGGACCCCAGAAGACATGGCTCCCGGACTCTCTGTTAGCCCAGAACTGAAACCATTCCCGAAGACAACTCTTCAGACATAGATTAGACAAGACTGTAAGATATAAAATGATACTTGTAAAGAGAGTGCTTAGCTCAAGTAGATACATGAGACTAAATGGGCAGCTCCTGTCCAGAGGTGAGATGAGAAGACAGAAAGGGACAGCAACTGGTTGAATGGCTATGGGAAAATCCAGGGTGGAGGGAGTGTGCTGTCACATTATAGGGAGAGACTAACTTGAACTGTAAACTTTCGCTTAAAGCACAATAAAAAAATTTTTTTAAAAAGTCTACACTTTTTGTTACACAATCATTACACAAAGTAGAGAATACCTGTGTGAGGTTTTTATTTATCTAAGAAAAGTCTGTTCGCATTGATTGTTGTTAGCTTTATTTACAATCTGGATAAACTGCTAAATTCCAAGAATACAGGAGAGAAAGTAGATTTTCTGTTAATTGAAAATAACTTTGTAAAAATTTCAATAATGAAAATATTAAAAGAATCATGTGTACTTTTTATTGAAGTATAGGTTATTAAAAAACTCTTGATTATTTAGAAAAAATAAATAAGTGCAGGAGAGGTAGAGAGAGAGTTAGGGACCAAGGAGAATATTCTGGATACAATATCAAAAGTTGTCAAATTTATGAATTGTCACTATTAGAATTTTCCAAAATGCAACACTTTATAAATTCCCTATCCCACCTTTAATAGATTACTGATGCTCTTTAAGAGTCTCCCTTCCCAATTTCCTGATAATAAAGGAAAGAAAATTCATCAGTATTTAATGAGCACTAGCATTCCAGGGATGTTGGTACTAACTATATGCTTAAGTCTAAATTAATAAGTGGGTGTTTTTATAGCTTACTAAGTCACTAAAAAACAATTTATAACTCTCAAGGCTGAGAATCATTTGCTACACTTGCTACACTGAAAGTTAAACAGTCATAAAGATAAAACCAGTCCTTGAAACCTGAGTAAAATAAAGTGTGTTTCTTTACTTGTTTTCATAATTTTGATAAATTCCACATCAAAAGGAAAGTCAGAAAATTCTGTCTATATCTGATCTAACTGATTATAAATAAGGATTTGGTCTGAGAGATCACTATGTGCCATGCAATGTGCTAAATGCCAGTGAAATAATTTCCCCCTACAGGTCATTCTAAATTTAGGATACATAGAAAAATTTATATATTATTGGCTTTCTGGTAAAATTACCACCAAGAATAAATGATTCTACAAATAACATGATTACTAGTAAGTATTTCTGGAGTCAACAATGATATTAATAAAAGCCATATAAACTACTAAGTAAAAACGTTTTCATTTAGATAATCAAAAAAATTTTTGTCTCACCTTAGCACCATATTTGGAATAGTTCATTTCTGTCAGCGTTACCGGACGTAACTTGTCAATATCTCCAAAGGCTACTCCAGGAACATACAGGGCACAAACAATGTGAACCCATCTATAAAGAGAGAAGACATGCTTTTGCTATCAAAGCCTTTTATGAAATTCCCACATGGAAAATAAAGATACAAAACATGTGCCATATGGAAATAATACTGAAAGAATTCTATGGTCAGATCTTAAAAATCTCACAGACACACGACTAAAGAATATGGAACACCAACAGAATTATAGCATTTAGCTACAGAAAAAGGGACTGTAATACACATCACTTTTCCAACAGCTTAGCCAAAACTGAGTTAACTATAATTACCTTTCACTGAAGATTTACTGCAGTTTGCCCTTATCTATTATTCTTAAATATTTGCATAAAACTACTATCCAAATGCAACGAAACATAATTTTCATACCTACAGAAAGGCATTCATATTATTTTAAGCACTTTGAGAATTTAGGATCCTCATTTAAGAACTGTGAAGCTGTTACTCTGCAATAATCAGGCAAAACTGCTCTTTCTTGTTACTCTTTTCCAAAGGCTGTTGCATAATCCTTAAGGACATATTTTAAAGCAAAATTTTGGTGTGCAGTTTAACTTTCTTTGTTCCCAGGTAAAAATGACTGCTAAAAGACTGTGCAGAACAAAGTTATAATAATATAAGGAAATTTTCATTCATCTCATCTATTCATCACACAACCTACAACTTACATGCCATACAGAAAAAGTCTGAATGATGCCGTAACACTAAGAAAGAATACTCAGAGTTTCAGTGCGCCAAAAAAAAAAAGGATGTTGGTCCTAATTTCATTTTTTTTTTAAACTGCTCTGAACCTCTTTTACTATATTAGGCACATTTTCTGTTGGCTTACAACCACGCAAAATGTGAGATCACTAACTTTGAAATTTAAATAGTAGATCAATATCACTTCTGTACGAAAGGGGGTAAAAATGAGATGGCAAATATCTCTGAACTTCAATAGATTAACAAAAAATTCTACTTTATAACAGCTAAAGAGGCTGTGAATCCTACATGGTTCTGTTTTGTGGAATAAGACTAATAATCATTCTATAGCAGTGCTGGGGAAAAGACTTACATACCTTTAAAAATTATCTCTTTATTAGAAAGAAAGAAAAAAAAACCCAAGGTTTTCTTTTGAGATTTTCCTGATAGAATGTTTTAGTCCAACCTCCCAAACACATTCTGTGAAGTTCAGTATAAAGATACACATCTTCAACAAGCAGCTGCTTTTTCAATTTAATTTGTACAGTTTTTTCATTTTCCACTGGTGTATTAAATGCCGTTATACTCTGTAGTTTATCTTTAATAAGCCCAACAGCTGGCTGTTTGCTTCATACTGACCTTCTTAGACTGTTTTAGTACATGTCACACAAGTACTATAAATTTAAACTGTCATTTCAGTGTGTTTGACACATAAATGTATCATTTCTCCCAACTACCTCTATGAGGAAGCCAACAAGTCTTTATTAAAACACGTATCAAAGTCAGTGAAATTCACAGTAGAGACAATTTTGGTCCTTTTTAATACCAGTTCCAAATAGTTTTCTGTTCATTGTTTAGCTGCACGTATTTTAGAAGTTTGTAATTAAGACAAGTTGGGTAATCAAAAAAGAAAAATTGTTCTTGTTACTTTACCATCCATTTTGCTTGCAGCTATGATGACAGATGTTGATTAAGGGAAAGAGCAGAAAACAAGCACCACATAAAACCACCAAAAAACAAAGAGTCAGAATTGTCATTCCAGCACAGAAACTATTAATAAATGTTTTTAATTTATATATTTTAATAAAGCAGACAAAGTAAAAGGATAGTTCTCAAAAGACTCTAACTTCAAAATGGAAACTATTAATCAATCAAATTTGATTTGAAATGCCTTGTATTTGTAGTGCCTTTTACAGCACGTGAAACAAATTCACTTCCAGTATGTAATTGTCATTCTTTCATTTATTTACTCAACAATCAATTTCTAAGTGTCTATCATGCATAACGTACCACATAGGCAGTTTGGAAATCATAAAGTGCTTATAGCATAGTGTCTGGCACTCTGTCTTCCCTCAAGAAATTTTAGTTACAAGGAAAAAAAAAAATCTCTAAAAGCTTCCTGTTAGTGCAAGATTGTTATTCTCATTTTGCATATAAAGAAATGGACTAGAAGGAATAAATCAGTTCCAAAAATAACAAGGTTAGCAAGTGATAGAACTGAGACTTAAAGAATCCAATGTTCTCTTCTATTGCACAATAATGTTTATTTAAAAAATTAAGGAATTTAGCTCATAGCCATTTTTCATTTCACAATAGACTTGAGGACACCCAACAAAGAACATAAGGAAGGAAAGTATGTCTACTACTCCCCCACATCAGGTTTATGAGTCCACTTTAGACAAGATAAAATACTCTCCCTAAGAAACGAAACAAAAAATCAATAACAAAAATGAACTGATGGTTTTCTCACATTAAATCACAGTATTTTCTACATAGAACTTGTAGTTCCCATTAGCACCTACAGGGAAGAAGTCTAATCAATTAGCCCATATGACAGAAGTCAATTTCAAAACCTTTTTCATTCTCTACATAGATTACTTTTTCTTTTCCCCTATTTTCCATTTGAAGCTAGAATACTAAATGGCTTATAGAATCTTGGCTTCTTTGCCTTGAATCAAGCTAGTATTCACATCCGTCAAAATATACCAAGGCCTATAATTTCTGCAATAGTCTATAGAAATGTGGACATAATACAAATAAAATGTTCAAACAGTATAAAAGAATTTTTGCCAGGCTGCATCATCAAGGAAGCGTCTATAAATGTAATATCCACAGCAACCAATACAAATATCTCTCAGCAATTATCTAAATGGTTAATAGGCCTCTCTTTGCTTCATTCAGGAACAACTTTACAAGTGGATATGACAGCATGAAGAGACAGCTACTTTATAGTTTTTCAATGGAACTTTTGAATAAGTAAACAAAAATAAATAAATGAGCAAAAAGTAAAACAAAATTTCTTCCTTAAAAGGAAGCTCTGTGTTTTCAGAAGTAGCTTTATTCACCCTAATTTATCATCAAAAATTTCAACTCTCAGAACTGAAGAGTGACCAGAGAGAATTTATGCAGCTTGTACTCCATGATTACCTGGTTAAATTACTAGAATAATATCATTAATAAGAAAGTACTAGTAGCAGCACCAGGAGTAGTAGTAGTAGAAGCAGGAAGGCATTTATTAAGTACTTATTATATTCCAGAATCCATGCGCATTGTTTCACATGAATCATCTCATTTAAACCTCTCAACAGTGCTAAGGAAACTGAAGAACAAGTTTAAATCACTTGCCCGATTTCAGTAAGAGAAGATCAGAATCCAAATATAGACAGGCCAACTTGAAAGCCCACACTTTTAACTCTATACTAAACTCCCTAATTCTAGGCGAAAGTCAGTCAAAATATAAAATAATGCCTATCTCTGTAATGCACACCACAGATTCCTCTCAATACATGAAGTCGTTTGTTATGTTTATTTTACTTTATTTTTTGGATGGACAATGAGAAAGGAGGGGTAAGATTTTTAGCCATTTTTTCTGGCTAAAATTCGAAGATTCTAAGGAAGATTCTATGTTATCCCATCAATCCTGCATAGCAACAGTTGTCAAGGGCCTGTCCAACAGTTAGGCAAAATTGAGAAAAATAAGAAAAATACTGTACTTTACTATAGTGAAATTTATTACAATTAAAAGCCTATTCTTTATTTTAGGATAAAATGTTGCCTACCCTTTTTTAATGTTAAAATTTGGGAAATAATGGTAATAATTTATTTAGGTTGTATTGTTGTCATTCTTGTTAAAACACTGAACATGTTTACTAAATATATCAAGATATCCTTAGGTAGCAAAACAAAAAATTGAACATCTCTTCTTACGTGGGGGATGGGCTGGAGGATTGTGATACACAAAACATAGAAAGTTAGAAATTACTCCTCTATTTTATTCACTCACCCTAGATGGTAGTCTCCTGGTTAAAAAAAAAAGTGAAAGATGTCAACATCATTAAGATGATAAATGCTAAAATGTGATGACAAAGAAGAATGTGAATGTAGTGAAAAGAATACAGGTCTTTGTACTAGTTATCAGTTGATTGCCTCTCAACTCCAAATTTACCCTTCAGTATCTGCTCTGCAAAAACAGACAGAATTCCTTAGCATTTCTCCTTTACAGTGAGCCTGATATTAGGCTTTCTCAATAGAGAGTGGCAGAGGAACACTGTAGGACGAAGGGCTTCTCAGCAGGGTTGAGGGGAGGATACCACTGGTGCTCTGCCCCAGCCACATGCACAGTCCCTCAGTAACCTGGCCCCTGGCCCGGTCTGGTGGTCACTTTTCTCTGGCCCTCTCAACACCAACACTGCATGCTCTAGAGTTCACACAAGCACCCCAACTCCTTCTGCATGCCCGTAGCCAGCCACCTACTTGCCAAGAACTACAGACCAGTTCTGGCCCAGGCAAACCTGCAAACTTCTATGCCATCAAGTGGGTTGTAATTTATACCATCTCTGAACCCCAGCCCTGGGAAGGGGGTCATCCTTCCATGTTTATCCTCCCTTGGACACTCTCCCTCAGCCCTAGGATATCCTATGGGGTCCTTTTACATATGGTTACTCTTTTGTCATAGCTGAATAATTCTTTTTATTAAACTTCCCCTTTCTAAACCATTTATGGTTTTTTGTCCCCTGATTGGACCTGATACATTCTTTAAGACAGACAGATCTGGGTTCAAATTTAACTATTTACCAGCTGGTGGCCTTGAACAAATTACATAAATGATCTGAGAGCCTCAGGTAATACATTTATAAAATGGGGATCTTTACCACCTATCTCAGCATAAAGTCATTATTAGGATTAAATGGAATTATGGTTGTAAAGGCAAAAGCAGGTATTCAATAAATGTCTTTCCTTTCCTCCTCCTATCAATATCTGCTATGCCAAGAAGATACAAAGAAGCAAATGAAAGTGTGTAACTAAGAAACACAATTTGAAGAATAGTGTAGTCAGGGGTAAACACATTATAAATCAAGCATATAAATGAGACATATTACAAAAGAGAATTATGACATCAACCTTCCAGCATCTGTCTCCTTGAAAATTCCATCCTGATTGGGACATAGTTCACAGCTAGGGGAAACACCACATTTACAGGCATCACAAAACCAAGGTTCAGTGGAGTTTTCAGAAGCTGAACTCATAATAGAGTCACTCTCACCATCAACTCCATAGCAACCTAAAACAGAAAAAAAAAAAGTATGATCAATATTTCTTTAATTCACATATATGAAATCACAAAAGAAAAAAGCAGAGAAAAATTCTGAAAAACCAATAGTTTATAAGAATGATAACTCAAAACACAGAAGTGAAATCATTTTATAAAACTACTTTTTCACCTAACATGATATGTACAATTGAAGTAAGTGATGCTTTTTAATGGTTTTAGTCCCACTGGAAAAGTACTAAAAACCAAAAACACCCAAACCCATTGCTGTAGAGTTGACCCTATAGGATTTCCAAGGAGCAGCTATAGGATTTGAACTCTGACCTTTTGGTTAGCAGTTGAGCTCTTAACCACTGCACCACCAAGTACTAGCGGAAAAGCACAAAAATAGGAGTTTTTATTAAAGAGAAATCAGATTAATGATTCTAGGAGCTACTGATTAGTGAATATTTACTGAGCTCCCTTTGTACCAGGCACTAGTATATTTCTTTTATGCATAAAAGATTAAATTCATGCAAACAAACAAAAAAGGCTAATTCTGGAGGTAGCAGATTAAAACACAAACACAACGGTAAGTGCCAAGTAAACATTAAATGGGAAATAATACAGAAACACACACACATGAATTAAGGCTATTGAACAATCTGAATAATGTAGACTAGAGTTAGACAACCTGAGTTCCAATCACAACTGAGTCAACCTCTAGCTATATGAGGTATTTAATCTATTTAGAGCTTTATAATTCTTCTATCTTTTCTAAAAATTTATTCATAACTGAAATAGATGAAAACAAAGAGATCATTCTTTTTCCTTTTCTTATTCACTAATAACTCAATATTCTGAGTTGAATTACTGAGGTAGATAATATGATAAAAATTGTTAAATATACTCATGAACATATCCGACAAACAATGTAATTCAGCATTGTTCTCTATATTTTAGAATAGGATATGTTATACTCCCAAAAAAAAAAAAAAAGCCAAACCCACTGTCGTCAAGTCAATTCCAACTTATAGTGATTTCATGTATTACACAGTAAAACTGCTCCATAGGGTTTTATTGGCTGTAATCTTTACAGAAGCAGTTTGCCAGGCCTTTATTCCATGGAGCCACTGGATAGGTTCAAACTGCCAATCTTTAAGTTAGCAGCCACCCAGGGTTCCTTGCTATGCTTCAATAATCAAAGGCAAAAACTGTCCTTATTAACTCAGATATAAAACCAAGCCAAAACTGTTGTCGCTGAGTCGATTCTGACTCATAGTGACCCTATAGGACAGAGTAGAACTGCCCCATAGGGTTTCCAAGGAGCAGCTGGTGGATTCGAATTGCCAACCTTTTGGTTAGCAGCCGAGCTCTTAACCACCATGCCACCAGGTCTCTAAGTCAAATATACATATTTGGAATTACAAATTATACTTAATTACTTGGGCTTACAGATCTGCCTGAATATTTTATAAAATGCAAAAGATATTCCTTGATTTTGAGCTTAAGAGTAGATTAAATGCCAAAGATGTAAGCTAACAGGAAATTCAGGCAAAACTTCACTGTCAACATCTTGTTAAGACCAGGTTTCTCATCATTATAACAGCTGAAACTTGATTTTGTCTATGAACTCAGAGCTGATGAGGCTCTCAATGCCTGACAAACCAACCAACTAGAGAATCTGATAAAGAGAAATTGAGAAGTTCTGAGAGATAATTTTACCCAGGCTATAAAAAACCATGCCGAACTACTGATTACTGATGCCTTACAATAGAGAGCACTTCTCTAGTGACTAAAATGGCCATGACTCTGAAATAGTTTCTCTCACTCACCTGAATGATGTGGGGAAAATGGTGCACACCAACTTTATATTACTCAATTTCCATTCTTTTAGAAAAGAAGACACTCCTCTTATATTACAATCTCCTTCAGAGAAACAATCTAATGTGTATACAGTAATGCTATAGGTTATAACTTAATTCCAGTCCTGATGTATGCCCTTTCGGTTTCGGCATTTCTCTGATTGCTTCAGCCACAGTTATTATCGTTCAAGATGGGTCACTTCTAAGGAAAGCCAAATGTTGACCAGCCCAGGATACTTTTGATGAGGTTAATTCTAAGAGGGTAGCCTTAGTATCAAATTCTAAAGGTACCCGAAGTCATCCCCAATAAACTGATGACATTAGAAAAACCACCATGAAAAACAGGTATCAGTGACTATCATCTCTCAAAAGGCTTCACCATACAGGTAAACTTATATGTATCCAGTGTAAGACGATGTGATTATCTGAATGGGTTTTACACTAAACAGACAATAGGAAATGGTGAGGCCTAAATTAGAGAGTACCTTCTCACTACCACCAAAAATAGCCAAATTTAAATAAATAAATGGATAAACATATAAATAGAGAGTCAGCCAGGCAAATACCCAGAAGGAAAAAAATATATACCACTAGTAAATAATTTTAAATTACCAACATTAATTTACTACATGTCATTAGTAGGTCAACAGTCATATCAATAGTCATGGGTAAGTATTTTATTCACTCAATACTAGTACTCAATATTGATTGAATTAAAGTAACCTAATAATAGGCAGAAAACTAAGAAGTTGGTCTGCATCTATGGTTTACTATGTGGAAGGGGTGGTCCTAGTACAGCCTACCACCTTTCTCTGCGACCCATGAACAAACCTTGTGAATAGGACCAGATGTGTCTGCCTGGTTTTTGGATGACATTAGAATGTGGGCTGCCTCCCTTTCCTAGGGCTTCTTAACCCAAAACACACTCCATAGCAGCTAATGGTCTATCAGCACATCCCTCCCCTCTTGTCCTGAGCACGAGTCAACATTCCGAGGAACTGCTTAGCTAAGCATGTGCGTTATTCAGCACCTAGCCAACCCCACTTCTATATCTGTTCCTGGTGGGGAGCAAACAAGGTCCTTCTCCTGTAGCCCAAGAGGGATGCATGCAGACCATCTCCCTGCATCAGCTGTGGAGTGAAAACCATTGGCCACAGGGAACCAACACCCACTACTGAGCTGACGTTGCTCTGTCTCTCCTCTATATGAATAAAGAGTTGTTCCATCCAATACCTGTGTGTGAATGGTGTCATTCTTGGGACCCCCAACATCTGCAAACTATGGAATGGGTTACTATCTTCCATGTGATAGGACTCCTAACCTGAACGTAGTAACAGCTGTCACTTGCTCAACAAATAGTCTTAAGCAAATCCCATAATTATTGTTATCCTTACACTATTCAAAAGCTTTATACCTGTTATGGATTGAACTGCATCCCCCAAAAGGATAATGCTGAAATTTTAACCCCTGTACTTGTGAATGTGACCCTGTTTGGAAACAGGGCTTTTCTTTTATGCTAATGAGGTCATACCAGAGCAGGGTAAACTATAACACATAAGATAAGCAAATGAATAAACACTCATTAATTTCTTTAATGTCATTCAATTGGGGCTGGTAATTATCATCTTCATTACTTCTGTCTGGATATACATTTTTTAAATGCTAAATTATAAAATTAAAAGGAAATACAATTTTCTTCTTGAGAGCAGTTATTATTGATAGTTACTAATAAAAGAAAGTTTTTCTATAAAGGCAACAGTAAGCAAAATGTCATATTGAAAAAGATTCATAAAACAATACAATAAAAAGTAGTCAATCTTTGTAAGTAGTAATATTTTCTCAAAGGGCTACGCAATACCACATGGAAAAAAATCTATTTTCTTTACAAAATAATGGTCCTTTGAAATGCAAATTCTTTCAAATTAGATAGATTCTGTATTTATACAAAGTAGGCAATTACCAAATAATAATGCCATTTGGAAAAATCAAGTAAATCACAGCAGTTCTCTTTTTTAGAATAAAATTTTCAATTCTATTTTTTGAAGAATAAACCACACATACATGGCAAACATATGCGCTGTCTTTCCCCCTGTAATCTGGAAGCACAAAGCAACCCCAGGAATGATTTCTTTGTGCCTCTTATAGGAAACTCCTCCTTTGTAACCTAGAAGATTAGTATCACATAAGCTCAAAAAAGCAACCAGCAAGTGGGTATTTCTTCTTCAGCTTCACTGTCTCATTACCTTTAGAGAGTTCTTTACTTGTCACTTTCATCTGCCATTTTTCCCATATTTCTGTGCCATATATATTGAGTTGACTAAATTCTAAACCAAAGCTCTAGCCCTTTACATCCACTCTAATTCACCGTAATCTATGTCTGAATACATTTTAAAATCTCTCTTTCTTCCAAATAGAACAGAATTAAACTACCATAAAACAACGCTTATTCTCTTCTCTAATTCTGGGTACGATATGCAAAAAGTGCATCTTCAACATGAACACGGAAAAAAGACTTTTCTCATATGGATAAACACGTTAAAATAGTATTTTATATGGACATATAAATTAGGATCAAACTCTAGGAACACACTGTGGGGTTTACAATTAAGTTTACCCAAAGAATTTGGTGTTTGGTTGATGAGGCCTCCAAACCACACCTGAGGGCTTATGCTAAGGAGGTAATTCAGGTGGAGGCCGCCCATGCCATACAAGACCCAATCTACATGATATCAGCCAACCTCAGCAGAGGGGGACATAAGTCAGTCATGACTACATAAGGAAGTCCTAATAAAAGCTCTGGAGATAGAAGCTCCGTGGACTTCCTAGTTGGTGATAGACCTCGATACACATGGGAGGGTAGAACATTCCCTTTTGGGACATGGAAGCTCCCAGTTGAGAACCCTCCCAGACCTCACCCTAGGCATCTCTTCATTTGTATCCTTTTTGCTATAATAAAACTGCAATCATAAGTATAGTGCTTTCTGTGAGATCTGTAGGTCATTTTAGAGAATTATTGAACCCCAGGGAATAGTGGGAGCCAGAAGGTAAGAAGCGAGGGGGGCCTTAGAGACCTCCAAGTTTACATCTGGCATCCTGAGAGGGTAGTGGGAAATCTCCAAATTTGTAACCGACAGGTCAGAAGTGAGGGTGTCATCAGGATCCCCAAGC